CTCTGGAACCTCCGGTCTAAATCGATTACCCCGCAAGCCAGTCCCCTTGTTTGCTTACGCTGGTAATGTTGACGTAAACGCCTGCTCAGCAAACGCACTCAACGGCTGCAATCACCTCGAGGGGGCTTGTGCAGGACATTCATTATCACCTGGACTTCACTCCTCCTTCAACGGAATTGAGAGTCCACCGGTGAATGTTACCTTCGCTGAAGGTTGCGGCTGCAATGGAATCGGCAATAGCGGTTTCTTATCAACGCGCCTTGTTCGTTGGCTGCGGAAGCAAATATTTGTTTTGGGGAGGAACGAAGATCAACACTCGACTGCTTCGCACATTTTTATACACTAGTTTGGACAACATGTATTTCCATGCATACTACGGGAAAATAGTATATTTCGGTCTATAATTTACCTTACGATAAGCAGAAATTAAATGTCTTCTGACCTACTGAATTCCTTCTCTGTTTTGTCAGTGGGTTTTCAGGCGTCCAGTAGACTGAAGAAATCAAGTTCCTATCTGTTGTTTTCCTATGGTTTTGTTTTCGCCAGACTGCAATTACTGAAGACACTCATTCAAAACTACAGTATATTTTTAAAAAATATAAATAACCAACGCAACATGTATGTTGAGTGATGAATCTTGAAGGTGTCAGCCCTGCAAATTGTACGATAAAGAAAACAAGAATTAACAACAGTGAAATCGTGAGCGTCTGCGAGGCGATTGCCGGTATTGCCAATTTGACGTGTCCAGTATCATTAAACGGGAATATCATGGGGATTTCTTTTTTGAGTTAAATTATAAACTTAGCAATTTCTTCAAACGTTTAGCAGTTAAGTGAAGATTGACATGGCGAGTGGCTTGTATTTCTAATTTTGAATATTTGCGGTGTTATTGGACATCGTAGGGTCGAGCCCGGTGTATTTTGATTAGCGACACCTCGTTGCGAACTCTCAGCATGCAATCAAGTTATTCTTTGGTTTATATTACTAAATCGCTAATTCCAGAGCCACAAATGACCATCAGAAATCAGCAGAATTAGTTTTTATATGTTTTATATTCTATGAGGTACTTAGAGGATGCGCTATTATTGGCCCATTCCGGACAGTCCTATCTGCTCTGGGTCAGAAAAAAATAGCAATGCTTTGCGCTACCTTGCGTCATTTGAAAATATTCTCTAGCGTTTCAGCAAGCCGCAGTTTTGCAAGGAAGCTCTTAACCTCTAGACAAATGCTTATTCTTGACATTTTTATTTGTAAAGTCGAGGTGCTTCTGTTCTCACTGAAGATTATAAATTCGGTGTTAGAAAACGAAAGCATTCCCGACTTTCCCCACTAAAGTTTACATTAATGACATTTATTTTTCCATATATGGTTGATGGATATAATCTAACTCTGTCAGAATATTCTGATTTATGGATTTTCTTGAAAAAGTATCCATCAAATTCAAGGTAAAATTTTTTTACCATCTAGATTTCATCGTGACAAAGATCTAAATTACACCGTCGTTATACGGAAAAATAACATTGACTGTTTTAACCCTCAAAATAGATAAATGATCAAGATAACGCTGATTTCCAGAAGCACATCTAAGCGATAACTAAGAAGCACGCACGCCACTCCTCATCAAAGGCGGAAACAATCAAATGTCCAGTTACTTCACTTGGATTCATTCTGTACTTAGCATTTGTTCGCGTAAGACGTCTAATTGTAAACTAAGTAGATATTCAATGTGACGACGAACACTATGTCAAATTCGGATGATTTTCGTCGAAACAACCGTCTGAAAACTATCAGAGATGCACTGTTTAAATGTCGATAGAAATACGCAAAGACCAGCTGGCTCATGGTTTTGAAATGATATTTTATGATAATTTGATATACGCTAGACTAAGTCTCAAATTATAATTTATATAAGTGTATATTTAGTTGGGTCGAAGTCTCCCTTTTGCTTATTAGGTCCCGTTAGGTTCTGTTATTTGCGCATACATTTCTGTTCTCAAATACTCAGTTTAATGGGACCAATTATTATCGAAAATCATTGTAAAAAATATCAAAATAATGGTGGTTTATAAATATGCTAAATTAGTCAACGTCGCACGCCTTCAAAAAAGTAGCATTTCTTCGGGCTGAAAACTCGAAGACTGTTTGTTTTTATGCAAAATTCAGAGGCGTTATATTTCTGTGCATGTCTTTATAAAGCATGTTTGATCTTTTAGTGTCATTGAAGGCAGGCAATTCTACAATATAAAACTAGACATTCGTATTTGGCGTGAGATTTTCATACGACCAGAATGATGCGGATTTCCAAGCCAGCATCGTAACGCGCCTGAATTATATTGAGATTATTCCACAAATTGGGTGGTATACCAGTCGAACCTATAGTCCGTGATCTAACAGATCAAAGGCGTGGAAAGTTGTTAATGCTTGCTAATCACTCGCGAAGATACGAATGTGCAGATCCAATGTATGCTAATAAAGAACAAGGTTAAGGGGATTGAAAACATAAAAAATATTAATGGTAATATTACGTCGTACAGAAGTTCACATTTTTTGAAAAAAAGGGGA